GCGGAATAGTTCAATAAAATGTTTAACATATGAGTTATCCTAAATATTTTTTTTGTGATAAGAACACTAAAAACTCTCAACAATTTTCAATAATTCAGTACATTTTTATTAACTGTAGGCACTATGTGTTGAAATAGATATTTTGACTGATTATAGCTTGGCTCAAAAATAATTACCTGCCACAAGAGTATGGCTGATACTCTATTTAGCTCAAAGAAACAGATACAGAGTGTATCCCTGTTTAGAAACTTTAGGTGTTACTTTTATATATCTTTCCTTTGGTAAAAGAGTCTAGATAATATTCAATTAAAGTTCTTAATTAGTACATTGTAATTGTGGCAAGGGAAATTTAGGAACAAATCTTCTGTTTCCTTAAATCTATAATGTCATTGTCATATTAATAAATTTTAAAAGTAGTTTTGAATAAATGAATTCTAAGTTGAGATGATTTATTGAAAGTTCGAGTTCTGCTATGGTAGTTCAACAGAATCATGCATTAGCAGTTTCCTTTTAAAAATCTTCCAAATTTTATGAATTCTTTCACCAATACCACCTAACTCCAAAACCCTGGTAATTACCATTTTACTGGATACATTATGAGCTCAGATTTTATAAATTTTCTATGTGTGAGATCCTGTCACATTTGTTTTTTTTTTGTGTGTGTGTGTTATAAAATGAGTAGCTGAGATCATCATGATACATTATTAGTTAATTAATAAAAATTTGCTGTGTATTATACTTACCTTGTTTTCTTAAAAAAAGATTCTTTGAGTAGACCTAGGTAAAATGAAGCACCTGAAACACTACAAACCAGAATGAAATATCTGAGACATTTTAAACAAATCCGCTGGCAGAATCTGTAAGTTGCATATCAAGGGATATAGAAATAAAATATTGCCTATTTATAAAAGACTTGAGGGAATAGAAGATTTTTTCCTCAATTCCCCTTGCCACAATTATAACATAAAAATAAATAATTTTGATTGACAGTGATCTAGACTCTTTACCAAAGGAATGAGCTACAAATGTAAGACTAAAAGTTTCTAAACCAGGATACTCTCTGCATTTGTCTCCTCAAACTAAATAGAAAATGTGCTATACTTTTATGGCAAGTAATTATTTTTGAGCCAAGTTATAATCACTTTCAATTTATATCCCATTTGTTCTCTGACAAGCTCCTCTTTCCTTCTTCTTTCACAGCTAACAAAAAATTCTAATTGCAATGTTCTAAGGGCTACAGTAGACACTAGAACTTAACAATATAAAGTGAATTTTACTATGTTCTGAAGACACTAGAACTTAACAATATAAAGTGAATTTTACTATATCTAACTTACAGATTAGATGTACAAACAAAATCAGGGCACATTGTATCCTTAGAGACATACAAATCAGAGCAAAAATAAATAGCTGTAGATATAGGAAGTAGAAAAACTGCAAAAATAAAAGCTACAATTTTTATCAGTGTTATAATAGTATAACCAGGTAGGTGGCTGAACAAAATAGTTCATCTCTGTTAGGTTGCAAATTTCTCAGATCTGTCCTCTTCAACTTCTAGTTCAGGGGTAGGTCAAAGAATTCAAAAGAGTCAATGGTTCTAGAGTCCAAAGAATGGCTAGGGAGAAAAATTAAACCTAAATTTTTCAATCAATTTTGAAGTTGGTAGTCCCTAAATATAGGCAGATTTCCCATTTTAAAAATGAATAAGAAGACAGTTTTTTTTAAACAAAAGAAATCTAAAATAATTTGGTAATGAAACTGGAATTTGACTCAATAAATATGGTGCAAGATTTATTTTGAATAATGGCTGTACTTTAGCAAATAAAACAGAAGTTGAAGAAGTAATTGGTAGTACGTAAAGAACAGGTAAAGTATAGTCATGATTGTGCCATTAAATTTGCTCTTCAGAAGAGCTCTCTTTTTTAATCAGTAAATCAAGTTCAAAGGAATAGACCCTTATCACATTGTACAATAGGAGAATATGCCTATATTTCTAACCTAATTCCAGTCTCAAACTTTATAATAAATGTATTTGCTAAATTAATTTTCTTCTTAAGACTTAGTAAGGCCTGAATTAGAAGTTCAAATGGAATTAGAATTTTTTCAGTTGGGTAAAACAGAGTGAAGGAGTCAGGAACCCTGGAGCCTATTGGCATATGCCAGTAGCAATCTTGGACAAACAGGAGAGAAAATGAGTAAACATAGTTATTCTCTCTCTCCTCCCAAGGATTTCTTTCTATTTCATACTCTGCAGTTGTTCACTTTCAGCTCCTTGCTGAATACTTTAAACAACTTGGCTTACTCTTGACCATTTTTTCTGCATATCAAATACAAGTATGTGTCCTTTGCCCAACATGATGACAAAACAAAGGATCAGGGCAAATACTGTTAGATCTCCTATTTTAACCAAGAACTACTTATCCTTAGAAAATCTCAACTGTGTGGCGTGTCTTTCCTAGAGGCAAGATTAGATATCAAAATCCAATCTAATATCTAAAGCTAATGGGGAAAAGGAAGACCCAGAACAAGGTCTGGTTATTAAAGAAATTTGATAGTTGATACAGACCTTGAGTTCATAGAAATAAGAAAAAAGATAGAATTTTTTTTTTAAAAATTACATGTTATCTTCTATGTTGACATGAAAAATTTCCTTTATAGAAGGTAGTAATCATCTCCTTCTCATTTTCTCTTCCCTTATTCTCCTGGAACAATCACTTTAATTCTCCAATTTCAATTTATTTTTCTGATTCCTTTGATCTTGATGAAGTGCCAAGGGCTTCCTTCTCTGCTTTTCTAATGAATAGAGAGGCTGAAATGGTTGACCCTACCTGTCTTGTGTCACCAGAAACTACAGCTCTGTCTTAATATGTTTTTTCCCCCATATAACCTAGTTACATTAATAGATGGAAAATTACAGTTTACCACAGGAGAAGAAGTGACCCAGAGGAGCATAAACTCTCTGTGGAGCCCATCATCTACCACAGTAGAGATTTTGAGTGGAAGATAGCAACAATCATTGGAATTTCTCTCTTCCACATTTTTTAAATTAAAAAATTGACAAAGGGAATAGAAAAGAGACAATTTCTTCTATGAAATCCATTTCACTATAAAACTCTTTTCATTGGGGATATATCAATTGGTCAAAAATATTTAGAAATATGCTTCTTCCAGTAAATTCCTTGAAATGTATGATCAGATGAGCTTCACATAATAATTTTTACTTTATTGAGTACACATAATCCTATGAGAAATGTAATGCAATAAAATCTCTGGTAATGCTATAGTTTTCATAGTTATCATTCCAAATTTCACAAAATACATTATTAAAATTATATTCAATAATTCACTTAACCATTGTCCACTTCCTGGGTATAATTGTGGTTTGTTTTTTCCTTTTTTTGATCCCCTTATTAGGGAAAACTTTGAAGATCAGTTCTTTATGCCAGTTTAATAGGAACATAATAGAAAAACAGAAAAAGAAAAAAAAAGACCTAGAATCTACTCGTATGAGTATTATCCTACAGAGAAATATGCAGAGAAAATTTTATGATCTCTTACTGCACCACCATATACATGGAAATCTTTCATACTCTTCAATTATTTATTTAATTGGTATACAGGTACTAAGTAATATTCTTGGGACTGGGGATGTAATAAACATACAAATAAGATCTGAAGTGTTATAAATATTTGATGTAATCAAAAAATCATCAATAAAATAATTATATAATATTTCAGGAAACAGAAAGTTCTTTGATAGAAGAAATTGAGGTGATATAGACTGATCAAAAGTAGGAGGAACATGGTGACAATGGCCAGGGAAGACCTCTGTGAGGAGATGATACTTAAATTGAGACTTAAATAAAAAGAATAAATCAATTCTTCAAAGAACTGAGGAAGAAAATTGCAAGAAAAGAACTATCACAAATATGGGGTACAGCATCCCTGGGGAAAAATTCCTAGCTAAGCGTTCAGGGAAGTGAAAAAGGTGGGACAGTTGAACATGGCAAGCCAATACAACAGAAAGAGTGTCCTCAGAGGAGGTTAAAGAGAGCGCAGGCTAGGCCATTTAGAACCTTATTGACCACTGCAAAAAAGGCTATAGGAACCAGAGTTTTTGGTGATATGTAATTTGATGTCCTCTATAGAGACTTGATAAAGAATGTTAAATTTGCAAACAAAGCTGATTGTAAGGCCATTTTCAAAGACCAGGTTAAGATTATGTTAGGTTTCCAAA